TGAGGGGTGTTGTGAGAATGTAAGGGGCGCACTTTAAAATATATAGATATGGGGGGGGGGGGGGGGAGAGAAAGAGATACCGCTGGGTGCTTGGTGTGTATACCGCCTGAGGTCAATATCTCCTGTCGATAGAGAGAGGACCGTGTGTCGTATCGTACGTACTGCAAAGCGCATTTATACGAGTATAAAGGAGGATCCTGCCAAAGGTCCAATTCTCGAAGGTATTATTAAATCTTCAGGGCGTGTTATAAATACAAATTCCTCGTCGTCCTTTTGATCGAGATTGATGCACTTGAGCTTGAGCGGATTTATAATCAGAACTTAATCAGAGCTAACACAAACCAAAATCTACATTCTACATTTTAATTTCTTTTTATTTAGGATTTTTTCATTATAATTTCTTTTTCGCTGTACGGAAAGAACAATTTTATTAGGACATCTCCGAAAACTAGATAAGATACAGAAATCTGGAAATAATTTTATTGGACTATTAAAACAACGATGTAGGATTCTTAAATATAATAAGTAATACAGTTTTGACATTCTAACAACCAGTTTGAGATTATCTACATAATTATTTTGATAGCCCAACAAATTTATTTTCAGATCGATGACTAGCTAAATTTTTTGAGAAATTTGAGCAAAATCATCCTTACCAGAAATAAAAAGAAATGAATATTTAGAAATTTTGAATAAAAGCAAATTAAATATTTTGTGTACATTTTGTGCTTCGTGTTGCTTCGATCATTTAAATTATAATTACACCGCTGAAGCTCAAGTGCGTCAACCCTGGTTGAATGACAAGGAATGACAAGGAATTCGTATTTATAGTCGACTCGCTCTCGCCGTTCTAGCGCGAATAACTAGAAAGCTCGTGTTTAACGCTTGTCAATCGTATATAAAGTAACTCGTGAATCAATAATGACAGCTCTACTTCACGCGCGCGTGCACACCGATATGATATAGAACGTAGAAACGCGCGCGGGCGAGGAAGCGTACGTTTTTCCTGGCGGCGTAGGTGGGGAAGCGGAGCGGAGCGGTTTCTTCTCGGAGGAAGGAGACTCGCCTCTGCCTCTCGTCGTAAATCTGTCTTTCGGGCGACGACGGGCGCCCGCGCGAATTTATGCCCCGCCGCGGAAACTGGGCCACCGCGTCGCTGCGTGCCGCGGATAAAAGTCCGCCACTTGTTGCTGCTTTAGCAACGCGAAACGGAGCGATTCAAGCGAACCAGTGACGGCAGTGACGACGGTGACGGCGGTGACTTGCGAGGAGATTCCGCGAATGCGCGCGCTCTCATCGCTCGCGGGAGGAAAGTAAAGGGGTGATCCAATGGAAAAGAACGCGGCAGAATCTTCTCGAGCTATCACCTTCAAGTTCCTTCTCCGAGCAATCTCGCTTCCCTTCTATGACGATATATCAGACATTTTGTTCGTAACTCTCCACGTACCCGTTGTCTACTCTCTGAATCTGAATCGGTAAATAATTATTGACATTAGTTCTATGCCACTGGTAATCAGTGAAATTTAAATAAAAAATCAATGAAACGTGGAATCTTTGGTAATCTTTTTTCAATTGAATTCACCGATTCAGATTTAGAAAGCAATTAAAACATCGTAAGGGATTATGGACCGTGTCTACAAAGTTTAAATCATGATGATGGATGCATGGAGAAAAATTGAAAATGAACGCACTAGAATTCTGATCATATCAAAATTCGAATTATCTAAGCTAAAATTATAATAGATATAACCAGAAAATTTTGATTTATTCATTTTTTTTCGATCAAAATTCCAGTTAATGTAATCAGACTCTTTCCAGGGTGACTTATAATTTTTTTTTTTCTATTTATATTGGGAAATATGTACTATTCTTGTTAGACGTGATTGAGAATCCTTACAACGGGACTATTTGATTTTCGCAAATGCTATCTTGCTCCGTGTCAGACGTATAGAGTTCTATGGTTGCGCAAATTTCAACGAATACGACGAAGGACACAACGCGCCGCGCAGTCCCTTTCAAACGCACGAGGACAGACGCATGTCGCGTGTTATGCGACTTATGTTTTTAATCCTGCTTTCCTGCAATTCGTCTCTTGGATTAGATGCAATCCTTGTCCCATAATGGCTACGTTAGCGTGTTTCGTTCTTTCGGATGCCGATCGTCTGTCGTCGAAAATAAACCGAGTACTATCTAACGTTCGTGAATTAAAAAAAAAAAAAAGATAAACACAGAAGCTACAAGAAATCGTAGAAAGTGCAGCTAAGTGCATTTGCTAACGGTCCACCTGTCTTGAAAGAATGTATGTATGTACAACGCGGTAGTGGATATAACCGGTTTTAAAATGGGCTGGGCTTTGTTATTTTACCGACAAAACAAGTCATCGTGAGAGGGAGACGAAACATTAAGATGAAAAGAATCGAAGGACATCTCTCATCCCCTAAAGTGCTCTCTTCTCATGGTGCAAGCTTGTTTCGGTAATAGAGCGGCGACTTTTGTACGGCAACCTTGAAAGAACGAGCACAGCTCCGGTAAAATCTCTGCTCGCTAATCCCTAGTTGAGGTTAAGGGTACGGAGGATATAGAGATAAGACCAACCTTAGCGCCGGTCAAAGGATGGGACTGACTAAGCGGACTAAGACGAGATCCCAGGGAA